GGGCCGCAGGCGGGGCTCCCCCGGGAACGCCAGGTCCCCTCGGGCGGGCGGGGACGGGGGTGAGCCGCGGCCGCGGGCCCCCCAGCTCCGCCGGGATATACTGCCGGCCCAGCTGGCGCCATGTAACGCTGGAGGGTTGGAGCCACCTGGGCAATGGTTTTACGCCGCGTAAGAGAAGGCATCTCTCCCTTCGGTCCTTTCCCAGCGCTGTGTTTGATGCATTGCCCCATTATGTTTACAATAGACCCACTAGGGTTTATGGCATCTGATTGTCAGTGGTCCCCTCGGGGTTCTCTGCCTCTTTTTGCAGCATCATTACTACCTCATTGACTTACTGTTTGGGGCTCTGGGACTGCAGAGCTTTGACACAACACATCTTCTCTTTTTTTCTTCTTTTTTTCTTTTTTTTTTTAAGGTTTTCCACTAACCTACACAATTCCAACTCAGGTGAAAGCTAGAGTTACATATGCAGAATTGCACCATTTCTAAAAAGTAGCTTCCTTTCTCTCCTTCTCTCCCAAAATCCAGGAGGGGGAAAACATGAATGAGGTAAAGGAGGCTCTAAGAAACATAGAGCAGCACTACAAGCTCTTCCTGCAGCAGCAGTTTACATTTATCGGAGCACTGCAACGCACCCGAGAGAACGCACATGACATGATCAGACCTGTGGCAAGCATCAGCCAGGTACAAAGTATTCAGCACAAAGTTCTCTGCCGATGAGAACAGGGACCGACGCAGGGCTGTCACGCACTTGGGTCTAGTTCAGGGATGAATAAATGTTTTTACTAAGGGAAGATGCACAAAAACTCTCTAGTAATGTTTGTGTATAACTGCAAACCAGTGGCAAAAGATTAAGTAGGGGAGAGAAATACCTATGTTAGGCCTTCCCATTTACAGAGGAAGGGATTTTACTGCTGAGCATCACTTTATGATTTAGTTTAACACCATCATTTTGCTGCTGAGGCATAGCCAGAAATACAGGGTACAAGAAAACAATCAAACCAACCCTCCTTCCCCAGCCACACATGGAATCTGTAATCCTTAACTTGTAGTAACCAGCATGCTTGCCTCTTCCCCCTGGTATTGGTGCTGCTGTATCTTTCTATAGTGCTTATTAAAAATAATGGCTGTGTTACAAAGGTAGGATGATGGATTGAGGGCTGAAAGTCCCAAGTGGTCTAGGGGTTTTCTGAGCTGGTAAGTGAATTGTCTTGGAATTTTTATAGCATGGGATGTTTTAGGTAGTGTGAAGAACTTAGACCACCTGCAGGCAGAAGGGGAAGAAAAATCTAAATACAATTAGAATTGTGGATGGGAGACAGCAGAACCCAGGCACAAAACCCAGATGGATGCCAAAGCCAGAGTGAAAGCCAAGCTGTTGTTAGGATTAAGGCACGGAAGTGAGCTGGTTGTCTTCTCTAAGGGCTGACTCTCTCTAATACAAGGGCTTTGCTCAGAACATTGAAGAGGATCATGACAGACATTATGCTGAACCATTTTTTCCAAAAATAGCCACTGAGATTTTGTATAAAATTGTGCTGTTTTTAAAAGTGCCGATATTTCAGTGGTACTGAGCAAGCTTGGACTCTGCTTCTTGGCAGAGGTGGAAGGCCTGCTTGTTGTGGGGGTGAAACCTCGTAGGTAACAACATCAGCAACTACACTGATCCATGGCATCGTTTGTGATGCAGTAACATGTGAACTTAGTGGTGGCAAACTGTACTGCACGGATAGCCCTGAGGGTACAACCACGTTACCCCGGGGGAGGACGGGAAAGGGAACAGAGCAAGGTACTGGGGAGAACAGGGAGCAGTTGGTGCAGCGCGCACTGGTGACGCGTTCTGCAGGAACCGAACCGCTACCAAAGTAAGTTCACTGGGGACAAAACCAGACATCCATTTTATTTCACCACCATTCTCCTGAATCAGCCTGACCCTATTTTTAATTTTGCATGGGAGGGCGCAAGAATAAAAGCAACAAATGCAGAAA